TATTTCCAGTCATTATCAAGAAAAGGTCTGGATTTATTTAATTTAGCACTGGGACAATGTCATACTGCCAGATTTTTGTGCTGTACTGGTGATAAACCAACTTATGGCACTGGTGAGTGGAGTATTTGGCTGGTTTTAGTCTGAAAGAGTCAGACTCTGCTAAGGATGGTGGAGAAACCGGTTTTCTACGTGACAGAATTTGGCCTGTAGGAAATCATGTATCTTGCCACTATTCTTCCATTCTGCCTTTGTTAAAGCACCAAATCTTGACTGATTGAAGGTGTTACTTCAGTGTAGTTGTTTCTAAAAAAAAATTAAAAAAAATAGTGTCACAAAAAACTTCACACAACTTGTTGTTAAATTGAAGTATATTGTGCTGTACTTTTCCATTCTTGCTCTTCCAGAAAGTGCCTCCAGAGCTCCTGCCATTCTCTTTCCATCTGTATTTATTTCAAAATGACTACCTTTGGTCTTCAGTGAAAGGGATTTATAGCAGTGTCTGCAGAAGAAACCCTGAGCTAGTTAAAAGCTACTTCTTTCATGGCATTTAGTCTCCCTAGTTATGAAATATCCACAAATGGTGCCGATATAGTCGGGATCAGTAGCTGGAAAGCTGCACTGCATTTGGATGCAGAGCATACTGTTTGCATCTGCTGTGATGCCACTGATGTGACCTTGCCTTAGATGGGATGCCTGTTATGAGGGAACAGTTTGTGGCATTGCAAAATGATGGAAAAATAAATGGTCTCCATTTTACTGCACAAGTTTATCTTCTCTGAAAGATCCTGCTGAATGCCATAGTTTTAATTTCTATTTAATTCAACAAGGGCTAAAGAGTAATTCATTACAGCAGCAATTTGGTTACTATCCTTTCCCCTGAAACAGCAATAAAATAAGTTTTTTTGCAGAAGAGCTTGGTCACCAATTATATGTGCTCCTCAGTGAATTATTTGTATTATTTATTACCATCCCTTCAGTATCGTAATACTGTTTTCGTAGATCAGCCTCAGATAGTAAAATAATTTAAACTTTAAAGAAAAATGAATTACTAAAATTTCTAATTATTACACCAAACTTAGTATCTGAACTATAGCATGGCATTAATCGCTGCTCTATATCAGGTAATTGGCAGAGGCTGACATTTGGAGAAGACAGTTACAAGCAGCAATACATTATATTATATGGGCTCTATCCAGTCTTCTTTAGAATACAAAATGTGTTCACAAAGCTCTCCTAACCAGAATTACCAGTTAGATATGGCTGTGTTTATGATTTTGTGGAGGTACATCTCTGTCGCTAGTTGTTTCAAAAGAATGAATTAATAGTTTCATTTTGTGTAGCAGACTTCATTTTTCCAGTATTTTTTTAAGTTTTTTTTTAAGTTTTTTATTTTTTTAAGTTTTAAGCTCTCCTCTGTAACCGTGATACCAGGATGAAGGCTGTATTCATTTTTTTCTGTTACAGCCTCCGTGTTTCAGCCATTCAGACAAAAATTAGACACAAGCATTGATTTCTGAGTGAAACTTGACAATTTCAGCGAGTGGGAATCTCTTCACAGACACAATTGACAATTTCAGCGAGTGGGAATCTCTTCAGAGTGTTTTTACTCCTTAGTACGTTTGTTAAAAATGGAGACAACTATTTATTCCTTTAAAAAAAAAAAAAAAGTAAACATTTCTTTGGTATTTTCCTAAGCCTCACTGGCTTTTTGTTAGTGTTTATATTAATTTTTAAAGAGAAATGACTGACATAAATTCCTCATTTCTTTTTAAAAGGGAATGGTAAGGCATTGCAGGCACTTCCCTCCCCTTGGGCTCTCACTTCTGATTATTTCATCTTTTTCATCATTTTCTCATTCTTTTAAAAACATTCCCATTGTCGCTGTGTTGCCAAGTTTCTGAAGAGATGGAGACTGTACGGTGGGGTGCAGCAAGCTCAACTCCGAGTTCTGCAGAGACCAGGGCCAGAGGTTTTTGGGGAGCAGCCCTGTTCATCGTCATCTTGGACCCCATAAGATGGGACTGTGGTGCCAACTCCAAGCAAGCTTTAGGTAGAGGGGGAAGATCTGGTTTCCCAAGGGACTTGCCATGTCCTGGTGCAGGAAGGTGGTGGAGGCAGAAAAGCCCAGTGAAGTCCGCTCCGCGTTTATCAGTTTTCCTTAGATGAAGTTAGCTTCTTGTTTTAAATCACATTTGATTTTTTTTCCTTTTTCTCTCTTACTGTCATGTTTTTTCACCAGTATTGACCCATGCTTCTTCCATAATAACCTCCCCATGAACATCCAGATTGTGGATGTTCCCCCAAATGGACAAGGCTTTAATCATCTGTCTTCAATGAGACAAAACTCCAACTGAAAAATATCAGTCCTCTCTTTGCAACCTGTGCTTTCAAGTGACTCTGTCTGCAGAAGACCAGCTGTGAACTTCTGACTGTGTTGACCTTTAAGCTGGCAGCTCTGTGTTTCGGGAGCCGGGTGGTGACAGCTCACACTTATCTTAGGCACATTTCCAGGTAGCAGCTCGCCCGTGAGGACTCGCCGGCATGTCCATGCCAGCAGCAATGTTGAATTATGATTGTTTAATACTGTACACTGTATGAACCTGCACTGATCTGAAGCTTTGCCTCTCTGCATAATAAAATATTATTATTTTCCTATCTCGACATGCTTTGAAAGGCCCAATCTGAACGTTTTGTGAACACTGATGTTTTGGAGTTTTATGAACCAGTTATTTAATCTTGCCTATGTGTATCTGGACTTGCAGATGTTGCCATGCATATTCAGTGGGATGTTCAGATATTTGATCTTTGCACCTTACTTTTTGCATGATGTGGTTGAATTATTGGAAGTGTTTTATTTTCCTTTGATGTGGTTGAGAGGAGTGCAGCTGAGTTGTTTCAGCTGGAAAAATAAAAGGGGTAAGGTTGAAGAGGAATGGGCTTTAAAACATGTAAGACCTTGGAGTCAGGAACTACATACGCTTGAATGCAGCAGAGGCTGAGTTTAGGGGGACGTTTAGAGGCGGGTGTTTAGCGTACTTGGGAATTTCTGGAATTGATTATATGAATGTTGCTCATTTCAAATATTGGGCCGTGGCTGAGGCTCATTATTGAATTTAAGTGTAATGATATTGTCTGGATTTACTTCTGCAGAATTTGCTGAGATTAGTCCTCAAGTGGTAAATCAGTAACTTAAGAACTCTAAGTGGCTCTGGGGAAGTATTAGGCTGGTTTGTGCCATGGAGTGTAAGAGCTATTTCAAGTTATTATGCTATTTGTGTGTCTATGTGCATAAATGTGGGTAGCAGTAATGAGAGAGATTCAGAAATAAGCAACCCTAATAAAACACCTAGCAAGAGGCTTTGAGGATAGACTAACAAGAAACTTTTAATTCAAAATAGAGGTTAAGAAGAGCAATATAAGAACAGATTATTATAAGTTGGGGGTGCTGATGGATGAGAAGCTGGACATGATCAGGCAGTGTACAGTTGCAGCCCAGAAGGCCAATGGCATCCCGGGATGCATCAAAAGAAATGTTGCTAGCAGGTCCGGAGAGGTGATTCTGCCACTTTGCTCTGGTGAGACCTCACCTGGAACACTCTGTGCAGGTCTGGAGCCCTCAGTATAGAAAGGACACGGACCTGATGGAGTGGCTCCAGAGGAGGGCCACAAGGATGATCAGGGGGTTGGAGCACCTCTGCTATGAGGACAGGCTGAGGGAGCTGGGGTTGTTCAGCCTGGAGAAGAGGAGGCTCCAGGGAGACGTAATAGTGGCCTTCCAGTACCTGAGGGGGCCTACAGGAAGGCTGGGGAGAGCCTATTTACAAAGGCCTGTAGTGATAAGACGAGGGGCAATGGCTTTAAGTTGGGAAAGGGCAGATTTAGACTGGATATTAGGAAAAAGTTCTTTACTGTGAGGGTGATGGAACACTGGAACAGGTTGCCCAGGGAGGCTGTTGAGGCCCCTTCCCTGGAGATACTCAAGGTGAGGCTCGACGAGGCCTTGGGCAACCTGGTCGAGTTGGGGGTGTCCGTGCTGACTGCGGGGAGGTCAGACTAGATGACCTTTGGAGGTCCTTCCAGCCTGGACCATTCTATGATTCTATGATTATTCATCTGTTGTGCACTGAAGGTGTTTTGAGGACTGTCTTTGATGGTTGGAAAGAAGTTGCCAGACTAGATAAGCCATGGCTCATTGGTAGGGTGCTTCCTTTATTCTTGGGGGTTTTTCTCATTAGCTCAGATATCTCCTATATGTATCTATAATCTCAGGTAAACCTGGGAATGTCTGTAGTTACAATATGAACTCTTAGCACATTCTTAAGTTAGTAGGTTTGTCAGTACAGCCAGTATTTAATCTCTGTGTTGGCACTGTGGATGAGTTTTTGATTTTTTCCCTACCCTATTATAAAACCAATTGAAAATAGTATGCATGTTTGTGGCAATCAGGGTGTGTGTAAAACGATCGCTTAATTCTTTTGTTTTCATCATTTTAAACAAACAGTCTGTTAAATGTTGTAAGTAAAACCCAATGCAGGTTGTTTGACTGGGAGGAGAGGGGAGGATGTTTTGAAAAGCTGACTTGATCAGCAGAAATATATGCTCTGCTGCCATGCATTGAGAAGGGAAGGTGCCATGGTGAAGAGGACAGAGTACACCACGACTCCAAGTATTTCTTTATATGCTGTGATTTAGGGTACTTGAAGTTAAACCTTATTTGAAGAGCTAGTCTATCTGATGGCATTAGATAGCTGCCATATTAGAACAGGGCTTGGGTAAGTAGTGTTTTTTTTTTTTCCCTCTCTTCATAGGCCAAGTCAAACCAGACTTTGTCACCTTACTTTGAGCCTTAATAATTCAGTATGTTTTTCTGGTGTTCATTTATGCAAGAACTGTACAACAGCAGAACCAGCTGTGCATCACTCACAGACCCATGGAAGAACTGTTCATGTCTTAGGAACATTGATTCATTTTCTTTTTTTTTTTTTCTTTCCTGTTCCCAGCAGATATATGGAGTGATCATTCATTTCAGACAGACCCAGACTTACCACCTGGCTGGAAAAAAATCAATGACATTGCTGGGATCTACTACTGGCACATACCAACAGGAACAACTCAATGGCAACGTCCCGAGTCCATCCCAACAGATCTCCAGGGCTCACGAAAAGGATCGCTTGGTTCCATTACTCCGTCTCCTACTCCAGAGACTGAGGTAACATACTGTGTCTTCTTGTGGGCTGCATACTGTAAAGAAAATGGAAATAACTTTTTGAACTTGCAGGTTTACCATTAGCTAAACTGAGCTTTAGAATATGGGGCCTGATAATATCCCAAAGTGTATCTATTTGTTGATAATACGTCGTAAGTATCTATTTTCTATGTGCATTTTCTAATGGCTGTGCAGTATGTGGATGTGTAAGATGAAATCAGACATACCTCAGATAAATTAGAGAGCCAGTGCCTGATGAATATGAAACTACTACAGTCCCATAGCATGCGCTGAAGCGTTGCTGCAGTATATGGGTACAGGATATGTAAAATTTTTGTACATTATAGCAGCCTTTTGGCTGGACTCTGTTTGCATTTTCTTTCTTTTTGGTTCGCTTGGTAGGGTTATCACACAAAGACATAGGAGTCTTCATTTGAGCCACTACTTCTTTTATAGAGTCGTTTCTAGTGAATAAACATCAAGTATTCTCAAGTGTAAGTCTCTTGACATCCTGCCAGTACGAAATACCTGCACAAGTGGATCACTGTGGTGCAGTCAGTCTTTAACTAGAAACAGAAAGAAACACATTCTCTCTTCCACATGTGCTGAAAGAGCAATATGTGATACCAATCTCGGGGTGGGGGGGATTGATGTCATATAAGTAGAAAAATATCACAAATTATCAGAGAGTACACTTCAAAAATTGTGATCATCTTGTTTTAGTATGCTGAGATGACTTCTATGGAATGAAATATTAACATAGAATCAAATTGTTTTGAAATGAATTTTTTCATACTAACTTTTCAGAAGGTGGTCCACAGTTTTATGAAATCCAGGAAAGTCTTTGTATGAGCTTTGAGTTTTGGGTCAGGCAGTCCTTAGGTTTTGGTTGGTTTTTTAAATGTATTTAGATGACACTTCTTCTGGTTTTGAGTTTTGTTGATATATGCACCAAAATAACTTCAATGAAAGTTAAGAGGAGTTAAGGACATTTGAGTATGTGTTACCAGTATGTATTACCATCTTGACCCTGAAACCCTGAAACTTTTATCCCGTCTAGGCTTAAACATGTACAGTCCTGTTTGTTATTTTAGGAAGATTGTTCCCGCATGTTCAGAAATGCTTCTCATAAGATTTGCAAACTTGACCATAACGTTTCAGTTATGATTTACATCGGTCAAGCTCCCATGGAATGTGCTGTGCACCAAGAACATGGGAAATCGTTTCTGAGAGGGTTCATGCAGAACGAACAGCAATTCTTATCGTTCAGATAGAAAACAAGAAAAAAACTTTCAGAAATGTGGAATGTACAGTGCTGCCCTTGCTTCCAGTATAAACTCTTGTAATGTACATGTGAGTGATATAACTTCACCCTTAATTATTTTTCTTACTCTAAAATATGGAGAACAAGGCTTTAATTAGTAAGTTATAGATACCTTTCACAAACCCCCAGAAATCAGTATGGTTGGTAAATTGCAAAGAGAAAATGCATATATTCATTTCAAATATTTTTCTACCTTTGTTTAAAATGCCTTTACAATAAAGATTTCAGACCTGCTGGTAATGTGGCAGATGTACATTTAACTTTTCACAATTTTTTTGCTTTAAATGAAGAATAGTTTGTGATAAAGAATGATCATTAATTCCTAGCAGCATCATGGAGAATGTGAAATGTATGAATTATAACAGCATAGATTTTAATATAGTGTAGATGTATTAAATAAGGCATTTGAGGAGTCATTCTAAAATGCCATTTACGTGAGAATGTAGTAGGCTCATCTAGGTTTTGCTATGGCAGTTGTAATTCAGCTAGGAATTTGATCCAGCAAAGATTTATGCATATACAGTTCTGTGGCAGCATCCAGGCCATATACTGTGGTGTAAAAGATGATACAGAAAAGAAGCAAGTTTCCAAAATTTGTATTAGTGTGATATTACGTGGTTATTTTAATTGTAGGTATAGACAAAGGCATTTGTCTCTTGAAGGTTTCTGCATTAATTGATGAGCATCTTACATACCATTATTTAAACAACACTGATTTTTTGACTCAGTGGGTGTTAAGATAGCATGGCAATACAATAGCAGCAGAGTTACAGTAACGGAGCTCAAAATGAGAGTCTGAATTGGGTTTGGGACTTCTGTGCACTGCCAGATTCTGGAACTGCTACAAAGAGGACACATAGCTGGAGTTAGAATGAGAACTGTTAGGAAAAGTCTTGCATTTCTTGAAACCATAGATGTTGAACTTTATTAAGAGGGAACTGGAAAAGGAATCCTTTGGGATTCAGCTGGTTCTGAACAGAACTCTGCGTCAGAGCAGTAAGAGGGAAATAAGCCATGGTGTGGGGTTACAAGATAGGGGTAGATAATGAAATAATTTGTAATCTAGATTTAACAGCGTCAGCTCTCATGAATCTTTGGTTTTTTCATCTCTCCACAATCTATACTTGCCAGCACCTAATCATTTCCAGGTCACTTGCAGGTGATTGTGATTTCTGTCCCCATTCACTGCACTGCAGCCTACCCCAAGTGCTCCCCCTCTCCCTCCCTGTGAAGGATTGACCTGGATGTCTGTGATACGGTCAATCACTTCAGAAAAGATGTGGAATTTGATCTAGAATAGGGGCTCCAAAGGCCTTTATCCCAGCGCTACCCTTGGCAGCAGGCAGTTGTGGTGGCCAGCTTCCAGCTCCACGTTGGACCACGTATGAGCTGCATACTCCTATTTCCTTCAGTGCTCTTTGGAAGCCTGTGCTCTGAGATAATCTGGTTTGGGAGGGCTGGTTTACTCATTCCCACTTGCTGGAATCTGTATTGCTTGCTTCTGAAAAGCTTGGGGGATATAGAGGTTTTAGGCAGATGAACGAGTATAATCTAGGACTGAAGATTGGCCGGGGTAGCAATTCATATCTGTCCCAATAGGCTTCTGCGAGTCCATAAAAAATACTTTTATCTTTATCACATTTGTCTGTGAAGCATCATGTGCTAATCTTGAGATGAATTTATTTGGGCTCTTTCAGCTTTTGAGTTTGTCAAATAAACATTTAGAAACATCTCTTTTTTTTTTTTTTTTTTCCCAGAGTAATGCCTTTTTTACCTTTGTCTTGTTTCCTCCTCTCTTTTTCTTTTTCTTTTTTCTTTTGTATTAATTATTTTGTGTCCCTGTCTCTTAAATGATGTGGTATGCAGAAGCTTTGCTTCGTTTGGTAGAATGTGGCTCACAGCTGAGGGCAGTCAACAAAGAACAGATCAAGTCAGCCATTTTTATGTGGAAGCTTGCTCTGGATATTTAGCATAAATAGAAGCAGTTACTTACTATAATTGAACAGAGAATCTGAAAAAAAAATGGGTTGGGAAGAATGATGCTGTAATGCATACAAATGGCAAAAAGGGTCTTAAAAAGGAAAAAAATGTGAAAATGTCTTACTTCTGCACAGGCTGTAAGGCAATTTGTCTTTCTCGAGATAATCAGTAAATTTCAATCCAAAGCAATTATGAGTTTAACCTGGTGTGAAAATCCTGCAGATTTAAAAAAAGATGCTAATAAATGCTAAATAGGAATAAACTGAAACATTCTTTCCCTTTCTTCCCCTCAAAAGCATGAAATGTATTTTGGTTTTGCACAGCTGATTCAATTTGACTTTTCTCCTGTTGCCAAATCACTTCCTTTGTGAATCCTCATCTTTTGTAACATTCTGTTCCAAATTCTAGAGATTTTTCTGCCTCTTTCCTGTTTCCTGTGCAGAGGAAAAGCTGTAGGGTTTAATTTTCAATAGGAGCTTCTTTAGGACCATGGCAAAATTTGGTGATGGTGTCTTCTTATAGCGTGACTCATCCCAGGCCTGGATCACCTCTAGAAGTTCTTCTGTAGGTAACATAATCAGTAGCAGCTAATAATTAAAGAGGAGGAGCTTAGCAGGAAAAGCTAACAACTCAATTAATTCAGAGGCATGTTAGATAAGACTTACTGCTGGGAGTTGTTTCTTACAAATAATTCTCCAGTGGGGATGTACTGAGAACAATTCTGAGGTGGGTTGTCCACCCTGCAAATTCACGCATTGGGCCATATTAGTAGGCACCACTTCACTTGGTGCTGAGCTGGACAACCTGGGAGAGTTCATCTTAATATGGGGGCTGCTAATTACAGGGACACTTGGTTTGGTGAAGCTGCAAGGAGGTGGCTCTGGGTCTCTCAGCAACCAAATCTCGTGTCCACCTGGCTCTTGCACAGACTGTGGGGTTTCTGTCCTCCTGGGGAAGAGGAGAGGGGTAACTGCAACACCAGCTGCTCCTCCCAGGCTTTACAGAGGAGAGTGAGCCTCGGGCTGCTGTAGTGCTAAATGCACTGCTGCTTGCTTGATTGTACCAGTGAACGCCGCTGACAATTTTGAGAAACTTGAATGGAATATGAGAGGGTGGGTGGTTTGCTCTGTGGGTTTTGGGTTTTTTTGCTTTTGTTCTGTTTTTTAAAAAAGCTGCTAGACTTTACAAAACTACTTTTTCAGTAAGAAATCTCTCGTACTCCATATTCCTTCCCTTTGCTGTCCTTTTCTTGTGCTTTCTCTCTAGAAATATTTAATTTTTACCTTGTATGTATCTGATCCTTGTATATATCATTGTGTTTCAGCATTTCTAGCCCCAGTAGTGTTAGGGTCTGAACAAAAATGTCAATCAAATGGAAATCCTAATGTTTCCACTTAATTGCTGTTTATCAAAGGCTGTAGCAGCTGTGGCCAACATTCATATTCAGATTCATTTTGCTTGCTTTTAAGACCATAGTTAAAGAGTAATTTCATTGTCTGTTCCTGATTTATATTAACTTTCCTTGTTTCAATCATTTGTTTTGGTAAGTAACTGTTAGAGGCATGTCTTTTCTCCCCTTTCCTCCAAATGCCATGGTATAGTGGAGTAATTACTTAAGTTTGAGGTGATCTGTTCCCTAACCCATCCTGTAAATATCAATGCTAACAACAGTGTCTTGTGTTTTTTTTCTTTTTCTTTTTCTTTTCTTTTTTTTTTTTTTATCAATGTGCTTCTTCCTGTGTGAATAATTATGTGTCTAGAAACAGCCATGGAGTGATTTTGCTGTACTGAATGGGGGAAAGATTAATAGTGACATTTGGAAGGCAAGTATATTGTCAGATTTTAGAACCTTTAATACTATTACCTTTGTTTTTTTGCATGGCAGTGGCTGTTTTTTTTTTTTTTTCCCTTTTTATTTTTCCATGAATGTCATTCATAACCTAGGCCAAAGAGAATGGGGGTACTGCTAGGGATGTCTAGCTCACAAACATGCTGCCTTTTCTGATCTTTCCACTCGGAATGGATTCAGTCTAACTAGCAGGACAACTGCCATGACGTAACGAATGAGATGCCTGCACTGAATGAAATGCAGCTTGAGAATATATGCATGCCTCTTCTCAACTTCAGCCAGAAATACTATCGCTTCTCTGCAGGGAGGATTTAATTTCCCTTTGAAATATGAAATAACACAGTGGTGTACTTAATACTATATTCGTAGCGCTTAATACTGTATTAATAGCACTGCCTTTATCTCTAGGATCTGCACGCAGCCACTGTGAACCCAGACCCAAGTCTGAAAGAGTTTGAAGGAGCAACGTTGCGCTACGCCTCTTTGAAGCTCAGGTACAATAACTTCAGAAGTCTCTGTGGAATGACCATCTCCATTTTGTGCTGTCTTGTAATTTTTATATGATTTTAAGATTGATTTTTGTCTTTTTTTTTTTCCTCTTCTTTTTTCTGTAACAGAAATGGTCAGCAATCTGATGATGATGATTCTTGTAGCATCAACAGCGATCCAGAAGCCAAGGTCTGTATGGGATAACAATTAAAAATTTGCATTTGCAAACATAACTTGCAAGGTGCAGAATGTCTCCTAAATCTTGAGATTCACTGTGCTCCTCCTCTTGGCACAATGTAGATTGACCATGCGAGACTAATTCCATCAAAGAATTTGTAGATGTGAAGCTTTATTCAATTTGTTCAGGAAAGTGTGACTTATTTTAAAATCACGTAAGGCAAGGGGAATTGAATGTTACAGCTCAAGTTTCTACTGTCCAACTGTAATAACTGACCCCTTGCACAACTAACTGAGTTTTCTGTCCTGAGTGAGAGAGTTGTTTGTCATGGCTGGGCAGCTTCCTGGGGCATTCGGTGACAGAATTTGGTCTTTACTCTCAAGTTGGTCCCTTTTTTTCTTGTTTATGTGGTTGCTTAAACTTGCAGCTAGTTATTTTTTAGAACAAGGAACTTTGTATTTTAGAACAGAGAGTGCAACCTAGTTTGAGGATGAAATTTATAGAGAAAAATGAGACCATTATGTGAACAAGCAGCATAATTAAGAGCCTCTACTGTTGTAATCTAAGGAGAAAGAAGCAGCAGAAGGTTTTGAATGCTTGTATATGTATCTCCAGATTGTCTTGCTGATGGTTTTGCCTTGTGCTTGCATCCATTTTTAAGGATGTATGTGAATCTCTATAATTGGAAATCCAAGTCATTTACATAAGTGTTTTGGCTGTGCTGTACACCTGCAGCAACTGACAGGATCAGAAGCTACTTATATGCAGGAAGACAGTATGTAACAGAGTTAATAATTATAATAGCATTAATGATATATTTTAGGAGAGAAAACAGACTGATCAGGGTACTTAAACTTCTTTGTCATCTTGATTATTTGGCTTGTGGTGTTTAAATCAGATGTGAATAAATGTGTTTTGCTTGGCAGGCTGGCAGTTAAAAAGCAAGGGTTTCAGCTGCGCTCGTTACGATGACAGGCACTAAATACCGAGCACAGTAAATGGAGTTGGAAGAGTGATGAGCATTAGGTACCAGCCCTCTGAACCAGAAAGCTGTTCCTTTCGAGATAAGCCTTATGGGATGGAAAGCATTATAGGAGGCAGCATTTTGATGTGTCTGAGTCTTTCCCTGCTGATCTGCACTGGGTAGAAACAGGAACCCTGCCCGCATGGAGAACCGTGGCAGTATTTGTGTGGATGAATAGCTCCCTTCCCTCTCTGGCTTGCTGGTTAAACTTCAAAATTTATGGAACTGATACCCATCCAGCATCAGGGAAGTGGGTCAACACCAAAAGCTTGTCCTCTTTTGTCTGTCACAGCTGGTTTTGTTTCTTCTGTTTAGTCAAAACCATGACGCTTAAACAGGTAATCAAAACCGAGCACGGAAACGCTCACAGAAGTGACTGAGAGGAGCAAGACAAGAAATAGAGGAGAAACTATACGTGTTTGGGTTGTTGTTTTTTTAAGTCACTTGAGTCAAAGCACCTTACCTGCTGTCTGTCAGGGCTGTTGTGCTGGGGCAGTAGTGACCGTGTGCATGGTCCTGTGGGTGATGCTGCTTTGCAGCAGGAGAGGCTGAGGGCAGAGCAGATCAGTGCATCTGCCCCTGCCCCAAGGACTGGACGAGCAGTTGCTGCGTGGCCCTACCTCACAGGGACAGGGAATTGGTCTCAAAAGAGCAGGGAAAGTCTTCAGCTGTGGAAAATGCTCTGGGATCTTCAGTTCTCACATGGATGGGAAGGAGGTGGGGTTGGTGTGTTCCTTGGTAGCCCATTTTACCCAGAATATTATGAGACTGAAAGAAATCTGGTAGGATTTAAAACCTATGACCTAAAACTGAGACTTGGAAAATTAGATATGTTTTTTTACCCCCTTAGGGCTCTTCTCTGCTATGTGACATGGCCTTAACTGTATTTGATTTAAGCTTGCTTTAGTGTGGCGGCAAGCACAAATACTTTTTATTCCTTTCAGCATTAGAAAAGGAAGCTTTTTTAACTTATTAAACTCTCTATTGGAAGAATTTGTTAAAATGAACCTTGTTAGAGGTATTTTAGAGATCTTAAACCTATTTAAACCTATTCATGACAGTGGCCAAGTACATTTGAAAAAAATGAAATTAAAAAATTAAATTTCCTCAATGGCACCGAGTAATGCTGTCTTTCATCAAAGGGAACAATGCCACCTTGTGGAAAGCTGAAGTAGTTGTCTTCTCCCAGAGTCTGTCACCTTCTGCAAAGATTGTAGCACTGCAAAAATGTCAGTTTTGGGAAAAGTGTGTCATATAATTCGTGTAATTCTTGTAAGAAAGGTGATTTATTTGGCAACACAGTTAAGCATTCAAAATTGCCAGTAAACAACAAATGTTTCTCCATACATCATGTGCTTAAGATGCAGTTGAGAGCTCCGTACTCGATGCATCTTGGCACAGGTTATCTGCACAAGGGCATAAAAGAGAAGGGGAAGGGGGAGAAAGGGGAGAATAATTATATCTAGCTTCTTGATTTCAGTAATTTATTTTGGTAGGAATTTCTTGGAGAGATGGCTCATTGCACTTGACAAGGATCCTAATTCTGCATGTGAAACATGCACAGGTGGAAATGAGTTTTGAATTGGTATTTCCCAGGAGACAGATCATAACCTTCCTGTTTAATTTATAGGGCAACCTGCGCCTTCCTAATTGAGTTTCAAGAGATGTAAAAAGATGCTTTTACCAATCCTGGACTGTAAATTTGTCTTTTCATGTTGTTGTAAAATATGAAGGCCGTGTGTGAAAGTATAGAAAGGTGCTAATTTTTTTTGCTTGCAGTCATGCATAGAAAGGGAACCTCCTGGGATACCTGTCCCTAGGAATGGGATGAAAAATTGAAAGCTTGTGTGGCCTAATTTCTCCAAAATCTTTTCAGAATTGGCCTCTTTGGCCTGACATTTGGGCCCCCCTTTATTCTTTCCTTTTAAATGTAGCTTTTTGCTAAGGCTTAATTTAGTCTTTCTGTATTAAGCATGGATTTTCAAATTCCCTGTCCACATTAGCCTGTTCAGCAGAGCTTCATTTTCCATCCTTGCCATCTTAGAGTAGTTTCAGCTACATATCGATGTCTAAGAATGGGAAGAATCTATTTATACCTGTGGAAGTACTAGGCAGTTGATCCAAAAGTCTGTTTTAAACTTTAGAAACCAGTAAATGCTCAGGATCTCAAAAGAAAGGACGAGAAGGAGACTATTTCCAAGAGGGGCAGAGGTAGGAGATGCTGATATCAGAGAATTTAAATTTAATTACTTAGCAGTAGGTGAATGAAAATGCAGTTGGAGACGTGGGAAATGAGTTGGTGATGAACTCTCACGGATTACCTGGGCATTAGGGATTAACCAGTTGGGCTTTCTGGAGTGATGCAAGGGATGTTTCTGACAAGCTGACTTGGCAGTCTGCTTCTGGCTGTCATGAAAGTGGCCTGTAAATAGCACTATCAAATAATTTTACAAAATACCGTATGCCCCCAAAGAGGAGTTATTCATCTCTCTGCTACTTGTTATGAAGGCGGGTATGTGTGTTTTGGAGACATTCTGCACTGTGTGTCTCTGGTCTTCTCCAGAAGCAGATACCCTGGCTAGACACAGGACCATTAGTAAATAACCAGTGTGTCTCCTTGGTGATGGAGATGAGTCTGATTTCTCATGCAAGTGAAGACTTAACCAGAAAGCAGGAGCTTTTCCATGTCTGGTAAATCCAAGAAAGGATCAACTTTTAACACTGAAGTCCATAATTCTCTCTCACAGCCAGCGTGGCTTCTAAAAGTATTGGTGCAAACAGGGAGTATTCAACCTTTTCCAGCAGTTTCACAGTTCACCTCGTACTGCATATGATCTTCTCATGAGCACATGACACACTACAAAAAGCTTTAGTTCGATTCATTTCAATTAATGGACTCGATTCTGAGGAGTCTACTCTATCTTAAATCTCCTTACAAAGATAAAAGCTAAAAAAAAAATTCAGCATCTTCAACAGTTTTTCTTCCAAAACGTTGCTTCTGCTTGGTTTTGGAATAGGAATTTGTTTAATTCCCTACAAAGTAGGACCTGTCACAGAGTAGAGGACTAGAAGAAATCCTGAACCCATTACTTTACCCTTGTAGGGAACCACAATATATAATCCCATGTATTGATTTCAAGTTTCTTCTTAAACGTTTACTGGGTTAGGTGGGGTTTTTTTGGCCTTGACAAGTCTTACTGACAGACTAATTCAAGCGTTACCTTCCTTTGGTGGTCAAAACCCTTTTAACCTAAACTTTTTGAGGCCATTTTTTATCCTCTTATTCTATTTAGCCATCTTCTAGTGCATTTATAGCAGGCAATTATGTCTCTTCTCCAGCTTAGTTTTGTTACGGTAAACAAGCCAAGTGCTTTTAATTATTCATAATGAGGGTAGGAGGGTTGCCATCTTCTTATGAGTCCCTGTTTCCCTGACTGTTGTAGCAACTCTGTGTTTCCTGTCTTTAATTTTTAACTGTGGGTGGTCAGATTTGTTACTCTGGGTGGAGTTTTTTTCGCGTCTCATAGGGTAGCTTTAAAATGTCCTTACTCTTTATTGAAATCGTCTTGACACATAATTTCATTTACTTTTTCAATTCCTGAGTAGGTAAGCATTTTAGTTGCAACTTAAGCTGTAATTATAACTAGTGTTTGTAAGTTTGTAAGAGGGAGTGAAAGAAAAGTTCTGGTTTTTATCTCAACAATTTGAGTAACACCTTGGTCAGGAGGCGGGAGTTGTTTTGGTTTGTTTTTCAGAGAATCTTCTTGCCTGTACCTGAAAGTTTCTTGTGAACAGCAGAATTTTATATTTTGGCCATTAGCCTAAACGGTGTGTACATACTTCTTTTAACACTAAACTACTGCCAGTAGAGAACTGCAGTGCATCTTTGGAAACACTGCATTTTGCATTGATGATATGGTGTGGAAATGAAGGAAAGCTTTCACAAAATGCAGGAAAGCAGATTATGCTCTGTGCTGATGGATCTTC